CAGGTCTGACGGCCACCCAGTGCCAAGGGCAGGCCTAGGGACGCCAGAGGCCAGCGGAGATGCCAGCGCATGGCAGCGGGCCGCGTGGGCAGTGACGGTGGCTTCAGTACCCCTGCCGGCCGCATACTGACTGACAGACCAGGAGTAGATGGAACCTCAGAGTTAACTGCAGGTGACACGTGTTCAGCAGCAGCTAACGAGAGCAGGGCCACTTGTAGTGTGCCTTATTTCCTATTTGTTAACAGCAAGTCCTATATACAAGTTAGCATTAGATTAAGATTCTAATAAAAATCTCCCTGCAAATAGTTAGGTTATAAAATAAATATCGCATTAAAATTTCACAATAAAACATGCAAAGTTGTTTCAGAGTTCTTTAGTGAGTAACAATGCCATTTTTCACATTATAAATATGATATTCTCCGTAAGGGCCTATGTGTATCTACATGTATTCGCATGCAAAATCGTTACATGTATAGAAACTGCACTTTTGGAAAATAGGGCTCTCCTTCCCTCTCCGCTTTCTGAAAATGAGACCTGTGAGCATTTAGAACAACTCAGTGAACAGACAAGACCCTATGGCCGCCCCTTGGCCTAGCGTGCACGTTTGACTGCACGATGTGGTCTAGTAACCGAGCTGTCTGCGAGCTGGAGAAGCTGGCACGGTGTCGTCTGTCCCCCAAACTCTGTAAGGGCAGTGTGTGCATGTTACAGACTCACTCACCTCCTCTTCCAGCCAGTCATTGTACTGGACGATGCTGGACATGGCGACATCGGCACCTTTCATGTAAAATGTGATCTCTGCCGTGGACTCCTCCTGCAGCGACAAGGGCAGAGACAAAGGTGAGGGCCCACGTGCACGGGCCGGCACTCCTGTCGAGCTGCCCTCCTCGCAGAGGCGCTGGGACAGCTCTGCCAGGGCTCTCTGTGGCAGCTGTCCCGTGCTGCCCACCCACAGACGCTGTGCCCTCCGTGCCAGAGTGCCGAAGCCCACACCCATCCTGCACGTCCCTGGACACCATGCTGGGACCTGCGGGCAAATCTGCTAACAGGGCTCCAACAGGGTTGCCATGTGCGCCGACGCCCACGGATGCTCAGTGAGCGCAATGCTGCGCCGCGGCCAGCTCCTCGGAGGTGCGCGTGGGCATCTGCGCTCACAGGATGGGAGGTATACCTCAGCAACGTCACGGTCATAAACCATTACTCACTTCACTTCTGTGGCATGCTACCTCTTGAAAACTAAATAAAACAGCTTGACTTGATCCAATAGTTACGGCAGCTCTGGCTTTTCCTCCTAGTAGTTTCAGGGTAGTTACCTTACATCATTGGATGGTTATCACGGAGCCACACTAGCTTCTCGGTTGTAAATTACTAGTTTAAATTTATGCACAAAACAACACCGCAAACACGGCACAAGCACAGAATGCTGGAGGAGACCCTAACTTCTCCTCTGGGGCACTCTGTATCCACCTCACCACACTGGCGAACCGCTCAGGCAGCCGCAGTACCCCGAGGGCCCAGCCATGGGGAGGGCGGCGGAGCACGCACCCTGACCACGATGCCCATCCGCTTGCTCTCGGAGGTGAAGGGGAACATCTGCAAGATGTGGTAGGTGAGGACCTGGCCTCCAGGTGTCTTCAGCTGCATGGAGTTGAGGTCCCTGCTGACCAGTGTCAGGCCCACGCTTTCTGTCCACTGCACCAGAGCGACCTAAGGGAGACCAAAGACACGTGAGGGCCAAGGAGTGGCACAGGAGCCAGATGACACGTGGCCCCCAGGAAACCTGCCAGCACACTGCCTCCGGAGTGTGCTCGTGCTCGGCTGAGAGCCAGCTGCTTGTCTCGGTGGCCCGCGAGGCAGACCCTCTGGAATAATTCTGACAGGTGAACACGCCCATCAAAGGCCAGGACAAGTCAGGAGGCCTCGCTCCGCAGCAGAGGCTCCTGCTCCTGGGGACCATGTCCGTGTGGCCAGTCCAGGGGCGGAGGCTGTGAGGTCGAAGCCTTCACCGAGTCTCTCACTCCACGGCACAGTGAGCACTTGGATAAGAAAACTGGGGACTGCCGAGCTTCAGGGTAACGTCTCCGTGCACCGTCTGGGAGTTCAGGGCAGGCAGGCAGCATGGTGATTAAGGTGCTCGACTCCCATGGTCTGACCATGGTTCAAGTCCCAGTCCCGGTGGCCTGGAAATCATGCTGGGTGTGTGCGCAAAAATCCCAAGAGGAGCCTGTGGTATCCCATCCCCCGTGGGGTGCCTTCTCACTCTCCCTCTCACTGTGTCTGGCGAGTGCACGACAAGGAGCAGAAAAGGGGCCTGGCTGGAGGCTGGGCGTGCCAGCCGGGAGTGCTCCAGCCAGGCTCTTGGTTCCACTGAGGCCCATCGTGCTGGCCTGGTAAACAGACATGATCACGCAGACCGTCCCAGGCCTGAAAAGATGCGGCCAATTGCCTGGCGCATGGTGGGCATTCAGCTGGAGGGCCTGTCTGGGTTTACAGCTACTTATTATTAACGCATTAACGCAATCAGAAAGCCCTAAGTGGAGAACTGCGTGAAGCTAATAATTTTTTTTTTTTTTGAGAGTTTTTTGCTATAGGGCGCATGCACTTGCCAAGAGATAGAGAGACAGAAAGCGAGAAATCACCCCCCAGGGGGGATGGCCATGCCGCAATCCCTTCTCCATTCTCCTCTCGGGATCCTCCGCACGCACGCACACGCACCCAACGTGAGTTTAAGCCATGGGGTCCAGGACTCAAACCACGGTCGACCACATGGGAGTCCAATGACATAGTCATTACGCCAACTGCTGGTCTCTGAAGTTAATCATTTATAAGTAGTATATTTTGACAAGTATCTTCTAGAGGTCTTTAAAAGTAACTTCACTGGGTAAGCAGATGGCACTGGATTCCACAGGGCTGACCACGGTTCAAGTCCCAGGCCTGGCAGCTTGAAAATCACACTGGGCGTGTGTGTGCATGCCCAAAATTGCGAGAGAAGACTCGAGAAGGGAATGCAGACCAGCGATCCCCCTAGAAATCACCCACTTTCGCGCCTCTGTCTCTTTCTCCTCAGTGAGCACATGCACCCTATGGCAAATTAAATAAGAAAAAAGGCAGCCTCACTCCAAGACACAACCCAGTGGAAACGTGCCGTGCCCGTCCTCGCCATGCACCGCTGCCCAGCGAGGACATGCCGTCCAGGGTGAGCGGCCATGTCCTGCAGAGCCGCCCTGCCCACCAGCACTCTTGGTTGGTGGTCTCCCTGCCTGGCCCTCTCTTCGCCTCCGCACTCCGGGCCCAGTCTGTCATCCACAGCGGGTGCTGTCTCTCTGGCCTGCAGGGCTCCCACGGGCAGGACAAGATCCACTGTAACCACCACTTACGCACTCAAAAACTCATCTTGGGCCCCGAGTCCGCGAACCCCTCCCAGGACGTTGTAACTCTGTGCAGTGTCCAGGGTACCAGAGTCCGACCTCCATGTCTTCCATGCAGAAAGGTCTCCGCGGTCCCGGCTCTGAGGTGGGGTGAGCAGGCCAGGATTCTGGAATCTGGGCAAATGGCCCTGACCCAAAGTCCCGAGTTCCTCATCTTTCATCAGCTCTCGGGGAGACTGGGGGACGCAGGCCTCACATTCGGAGTGCACTCGGGGCTGCCCACGTTCCGGTCTCCAGGACGCCGGGGTCTTAGCATGCGCCCGTTCTCACAGAAGCCATTTGCGTGTGTCCTCTTGGGCAGACCAGGAATCTCTAAACTAGATTTTCTAAGTAAATCCCTACAAGCCGCACCACAGACTCCTCTTCTAAGATCTCCAGCTGGCTCCCGGCAGGGCTCTGAGTGCCGAGAAGCAGTGCCCCGTGCGTGGAGGAGATCCCGACAGCGGGTAGAATGCCACACTGCCCTGGGGAAAGTGCTCGGGATGGCCACCTGGAACAGCCACGCTGAGCAGGAAGACACGGGCTGGCCTCTGGACACCGGCCACGGCCCAAGCTCAGTGTGCTCCTGTGGAGGGCTCAGGGGTCCTCCTGGAGGCTGCGCTCTCTGCTCAAGCTTCCCTTCTCCTTTTTTGAGAGACTTTTTCTATAGTGCATGTGCTTTCACCAGAGACAGACGGAAAGCAGGAAGTCATCCCGGGGATGGCCATACCACCTGCGTCCTTCGTCCTCCCGGTCCTCCCAGTGCCCCCAGTGCCCTGTCCTCCCAGCCTGCCTTCTCCATCCTCCCAGTCCTCCCAGTGCTCTGCGTTCCCAGCCTGCCTCCTCCTTCCCCATCCTCCTGGTCCCCCCAGTGCCCTGCACCCCCAGCCTGCCTCCTCCGTCCTCCCAGTCTCCCCAGTGCTCTGTGCTCCCAGCCTGCCTCCTCCTTCCCCATCCTCCTGGTCCCCCCAGTGCCCTGTGCTCCCAGCCTGCCTCCCCGGTCCTCCAGGTCCTCCCAGTGCGCTGACCCCCAGCCTGCCTCCCTGGTCCTCCATGCCAGACGCTCCCTGTCTTCCTCATGGAGGTGAGACGCTCTAACCAGCTGGGAGTGGTACCTCCCAGTACCCAGCAGGTCCCCAGGCCTGGCTGTGCCCTCCCGTGTGCCCTTTCCTTTCTGAAGCATGGTGGCGCTCCTTTCTGATGGCTCTTGGAAACCACCTACAGCCAGTGACAGTAAAGGAAGCAGCTTTTGAAGGCCCCTGCCCCTCGGCAACGAGGACACATGTGCTCTCTGAGGCACGCAGGCTCTCCACACAGCCAGGCGCGATGCCCAGAAGGTTGTGACAAGCCCACAGCGGTGCAGGAGCACATGGCCCCAGGACACGGCAGCCTGTGTGTGGCTCCAGGGCGCTGCTGCAGCACGGCCGGCCTCGGGCCTCAGCAAGACGCATATCTGCCCAGGAGCCAAAGCTCTCGCCTTGAGACCATTTTCCATGCACAAAAACGCAGATACGGATTAAGGCAGCTGAGGCCACCGCTGCGGGGGCCCTGGCGCACAGAGGGCCTGACAGCACCTGCGACCCGACTTCAGTGCAGGGCAGCTCTACGAGTGCTGCACACCAGCATCGACGCCCGCCGAGCACCTGAGGGTCCGTCCAAGCCTGTGCTGCCACAAACGCACGGCGAGGGAAAGCTGACCAAGGCCGCCTGCAGTGTGGGCCTGCAGTCGGGGAGGTCCCGGGATGCGAACCCAGAGCTCCCCAGAACGGCTCCGGTCACGTGACCACCATGCTTCCACCGCCCAGGGCTCTGCTTATTTATGTAAAGGGTCGTCTTTCCTGCATGGAGTTAGTTTCTCAGGCACCTCCGTAAAGCCCACCGTCACCTTAGCGAAGACTCCAATCCACAAACAACACAGTTCGCCTGTCTTCACACTTCCATTTCTCGTTTTACGCTTTTCAACACTCGCGCAACAAGTATTTCATTAGCTCTGTCCTTCAGATTTCATAGTATTGTGGTGCTTTGTAAGTGGGACATTTTTAAAATTTAAATATCTTTTTAAAATTAGTTTAAAATTTGCCAGAGGGCATATGCACTCCGCAGAGAGGGACCCGGGAGGAGAGACGCCGCCCAGGGCTCTGCTTATTTATGTAAAGGGTCGTCTTTCCTGCATGGAGTTAGTTTCTCAGGCACCTCCGTAAAGCCCACCGTCACCTTAGCGAAGACTCCAATCCACAAACAACACAGTTCGCCTGTCTTCACACTTCCATTTCTCGTTTTACGCTTTTCAACACTCGCGCAACAAGTATTTCATTAGCTCTGTCCTTCAGATTTCATAGTATTGTGGTGCTTTGTAAGTGGGACATTTTTAAAATTTAAATATCTTTTTAAAATTAGTTTAAAATTTGCCAGAGGGCATATGCACTCCGCAGAGAGGGACACGGGAGGAGAGACGCGAAGGTGGCCGGGGAGTGGCCGCGCTACCCCTTACCTTTCTCTCGGGGTTTGGGCATGGGTGCACAGGCGCCCGGTCTGCCTTTCCAGCCATGGGGGTCTGGGCTTCAACTACACATTGGCCATGGGGGATCTGGCTACTGTGACTACACCACTGGCTGGCACTAAAACTTCCATTTCAAATTGTTCATTGTAGTTAAATAAAAATACATTTTTTTGAAGTAGACACTGATGGGCAGTCTTGGCAAATTCCATTTAGCCTCGGAAGTTTCCTTAACCTTCGACATCTTCTGTGCAGTCAATGCCGTCGCCTGCACAAGGCTGTCTCGTCTGCTCCTTCCAGGTGGCCTGGCTGCGAACTGCACAGGAGACACCTACGGCTGGACGGCAGGGCACGCCTCTGCCAGCTCCCCACAACGCCTCGACCCTGCAGCAAGTGCCACATTCACTGGACGTTTTCCAGACACCCCTCACGAAGCTCAAGAACTCCCCTTAATTCTTGCTTCTGAGTTTACTCGCCCATCAGAAACACAGGGATAAGCTGAAACCTGTCCATCTGGAAAGGAGCAGGGGACCTCCCCGTTCCTTCCTTTCTTGATGAGCGAATCGCGGGGCCTGAGTAACGGCTGCGGAAACAGCTCCCACCTCTGGGTACACCCTGCTTGACCGGTCTGGGTTTTCCTGTTTAAGTGGGTTCTCAAAACCATCTAGACCTAGACAATCCCAGCCCTGTGCTCTCTCCACGACGTCCTCTGGGCCCCGATGCACGCAGATCCACAGATGGTCCCAGGTTAAAATGTGCCTGCTTCTCACGCGTCTGCCAGGACACACGTGTTCGGTGACAGTCATGGTCAGGCTCGCTGTTGCAGCACACTGTCCAGGAACAATGCGAGCAGCAGTACCCGGGCTTTGATTCTGCAGACTCTGGCTCAGTTTGTGGGAACCAGGGGTCCGTGGGTGTAAAACCTCCTCTCCCGTTTCTGATGGGTGGTCAGGACGGACCATTACTTAGAACAACTGTTCTCACATTTAAACAGAAGCCCTAGGGCCAGCAGGAGACATGATGCATCCCACAGGCCGACTGCGCAGTTCCAGTCCCAGCCCCAGAGGCTTGAGGGTCACGCCAGGTGCGTGTGTGCGAACCTCAGATCCTGAGAGGGCAACGGAGGAGCAGGGACTGCAGTGGTCATCCCCCCAGGGGCCGATACATCACTTTCCTCTCACTGTCTCTGTCTCTCTCCAGTGAGCGCATGCACCCTATGGCAGAAACCTTGCGTGAGATATTCAGATTTCCAGTTCTCTCTGTTCAGTAGCAACACGAGGTCACTCTTGCAAAAGTGTAAACCCGTGGGTGTCTGTAAGTGATGAGTGTCAGCGAGAGGTCCCGGTGGGCTGTATGTAAACATGTGGGTGTAAGTAATGCGTGTCAGCGGGAGGTCCCGGAGGGGTGCGTGTAGCTGGGTGCGGTGGTGCGTCCCTGCTGCGGTGCACTGGGACGCACCGTGACCTGACGCCTACCGGGGTGTGGCTGCAGTGCAGGGACGGGCCTGGCCTCACGTCCTGCGGGACAGTGTACTGACGGCTCAGTGCCCGAGTACAGTCATGTCTTCCGCCAGTGCTCCTGGTCCTTTCATAATTACACTTATTCTGTAAGACAATACCGAGTGGCATGGGGATGGCGGGTGTCCCTGTCACAGTCTTTGCTAAAATGGGGACGACCGTAGGATTTACTCGGCATGATGGTGAGACTGGTACCTGGAGTCACGACAGCGAAGTGCCTTCTGTCTCGGATTAACTCTACCTGATCTCTGAGGGTAGCCTGCTTTGATCAGGGATGTGTACTGAATTTTAACTTAAATGCTTTGTAAAAATCTCCATCGACTTTTAAAAATATTATTTTATTTAACTTTATTTATTTAAATTTGACCATGGAGGAACAGAGAGAGAGAGAGAGAAAGTGAACGAGAAGGCGAGAAAGCAAGTCGCCAGGTCCGGGACTCGAACCATGGTTGGCCGTGTGGGAGTCCAGCACCCTTAATCACCATGCCACCTGCCGCCCCACAGTGACTTTTTAGCCAGGACCTCACCATGCTAAACGCCTCCTGTCTCCGTCCCCGAGCGGCTGGGACTACACCATGGGCAGGGCCCGCCTGGCCTAGCTTTCAGGGGGCCAGAAGCCGAGGCTGAGCCCTCCCACTGGAACTGCCGGACCGCTGTGTCCTCGGTACACGTGACCTGGGACGTGCAGGCGTGGAGCCGCATGTACTCCCCAGCGCTGCTGTGCTCCTGCATCCCTAAGACAGACGCTATCGTCAGGGTGTCCCAGTCGTCGAGGACACAGCAGTCCCCGTCAGCCAGCGGGATGTGTTCCGAGACTCCCAGTAGGTGCCCAGAACCAGACAGAACAGAACCCAGTGTGCCCCGGCTATGGGAGGGTCTGTAAATCCGGAGTGGCGGGTTTCATGTCTCACACATACCTCAAGCGCACGGTCTGAAGGGGTTTTAGACGGTGTGTGTAATGACTGTGCACGGAACGGTCTGTGTTCGCGGCCCTGTCAGAGCGCAGAGGCGTCTGTCCCCGGCTCGGCCATCTGTGTGGACGTTGTCCTGTGTCACCACTGTCCCCAAGCCTGCACTGATGTGCTAACTCAGCAGCCATTCTCCTAATTTTCACCATGTACTCCATAAATCATAATTTAATCACCCACATTTCACCATCTCTCACTGTGGTTACTGTAATTGCTGTTATAATTTAATAGAATTATTAACGTAAAGACCATTTAATCGCCTGGAGAAACTGCTAATCAGTATTTGGACAAGCCATGCAGTATTCACTCTCTGTTGGCTTTGAAGGTCACAGAGTGAAGGCTGCATGTCACCAACCACACTTCGCTCCTCACAAACGTATTGACAAAACACCACAATTACTCCTCCTTGGACGGCACACGCAGCGCAGGGCACTCACTTCAGAAGTCACGCACCTCCCTTTCTAAATAACCCACTTGTGGTTTGTCATCGATCCCACTGACTCTGGCACATGGACGCTGGAGGAGGCGGTGATAGCTGCCCGTGAAATAACATTCACGCCAGACCAGAGAGGGAGCGGCCTCAGGCTGCTGTTGTCCTCTGCCTCGGGCACTCGGGCTGGCGACCCTCTGCCGGTCCTGCCTGCTGAGCTGCCCCTCTGGCAGCGCCCGGGGCCCGCCTTGACAGACGTGTGCTCGCTCTCCCGAGGCACTTGCAGGAGCAGGACAGCGGGCCCTGCCGTAGCTGCTCCTCCAGCCGCGCTGGCTGCGGCCTGGCCCAGGGCACCATGTCCTGGTGGGTGCACAGAGAAGGCTCTTCTCTCTTGCAGCGAGTTTGTGAAGCAGAGTCACCAGGCTCCTCCCGGGACGGTAGGCCTGGTTTCCTGCCTTCTTCCTGCAAAGGCACTTCCCCATTACATATGTGAGAGTGCGTGCAGATGCCGGTCCATGCATGCTTGCACAGGTGTCTCAACTACTAAGGGCCACCTCAGAGGCCTTGAGGGGACAGGACGCCGTAAGACTAGATAGGAGACACGCTAGGTGTGCATAGACCCAATGGGCCTGACAGCAGCCAACCCTAATCAGAAATCAAAACGTGAAGTGAGCGAGAAGTAAAAAGCCAGCTAAGCACAGGCAAGGTGCGACCATCTCTGCAGATTTTCAAAAGCACTCACATCGTCTCTTTCGAAACCGGTACACTGCATTGACATTCCGGCAAAACAGCTAGCAAGCTCGGTGCGCACCGGACGATGTGTGAGGAGAGCGGCTGGCAACCATGACGGTCCAGCTTCCTGAAGCCTGGCTCTGGCACACCGACATGTGCCTGCGCTAAGACCCCAAGCTCCGTAGGCTGGGAGGCCGGGCTCAATTCCCAGTCTGGGGTGACAGCCAGGCACGGCAGCTGCCTGTTACCTCAGGAGCTGGAGGCCGGTCTAGGCACCAGAGTAAGCGTGGGCACACACCACGGCCCCTGCTGGGAGGCCAAGGGAGGAGCTGCCACAGGTAGTTTAAAACAGGAACCAGCAGGGCCAGCGGCAGAGCGGCGGCCGAAGTGGAGAGTGCACACAGTCCTGAGTGTGTGCCGGACAGCTGGGGTCGCGGCACAGGGACCCCCGACCTGACCCATTCCCCACCTCTCACGGACAAAGGAAGACAATCTGGCCCTGTCCCAGGCTAGCGTATGACATCGATGACACCCGCTGGGTGTTCTCGTGCCACTTCCCACGCCTTAGTGGGAGAAGCCCCGACACGCTGACACACGGATGCCAGCACTGCGTGTGCAAGGCCTGGCCAGAGCAGGCGCCGTCTCCACCACGGCTGGTGCGGGCCAGGACCCGCACGGCCCGCCCTGCCCGCCCAAGCGCTAACTCGCACGCTTTCGGAGCCCAGCCGGGCACGCACAGCGCTCACACAGTTGGAGACAAGAACCAGCTACCGTCCTGCGGCAGGATTCCGCAGTGAGTGGGACCCACCTCATCGGGGCTAGAGGCCTGGTAGGTGCGGTTCTCGTCACTGAAGTCCTGGTCTGCTTCGGCAGCCTCGGGCTCCCCGGGGGCACCAGCTCGGGACTCGTACACAGGGGTCACGTTGTGGCACAGGGCGATGGCTTTCACAGCCTCGTGGATCCGACTGCTCACGCTTTTTCTCACCTTGGGGGCTGAAGCCTGGGCTTTTCTCGGTGGAGACGAACTGGCATTGTTTCCACAAGCTTGAGAATGCGTCTTAAAATAAGGAACGCCATTAATTAAAGATAAACCGGAGAGGACCACATAGTGGACCTTGGAGTTACTGCCACGTGTCGCTCCTCATTAGGAACGAATGGCTTCATTAGGTCCCGATTTTCTCCTACGTAACATCGAGTTTAACCCTCACACTGCAACGTGCTTTGATACGCCCAGCTGTCAGAGCAAATGTTGGCACAGCCCTCCCTGCGCTCACTCCCGCAGCCCAGTCCTTCCTAATTCCCGTGAGGTGAGGTGACAACAGGTGGCGCAGAGGTCCTGACTCCGTCCTAGGAACGCTGTAGCGAAAGTGCTGGGCGAAGGCGGCAGGACTAAGGGCCTCCCTCGAGGCTGAAAATGCTCCAGCTCCACAGGTGGGAGTCAGGCCTCCCGGGGCTGAGGGGACAGTAATCCAGACGGCGACAGCGGCGTGCAGCAGACAGGATCCACCCCTTCAGAGCCATGTCCCCGCGGGGCAGCCCAGCACTGGCCGTTTGGGCCCCATGAGACTCCCACCACCGCGGCAGCGGCAACACCTTCTCACTAGCGTGTGCACTTGTCAGACAGACAGAGACAGAAAGCAAAAAATCATCCCCCATGTCCGGGATGGCTACGCTGAAGTCCCTTTTCCTCCCTTCGCCTCTCAGAATTTTGGGTATGCACATACACGTGCCCAGCGTATTTTCTAAGCCACCAGGTCCAGGACTTGAACTGTGCACTTGGTCATGTGGGAGGCGCCTTAACCACAACACCTGACTCATGAATTAACTTCTAAAAAATGTCACCTGGAACTATTTCCATCTGCACATAGATTCCTAAGAGAAGGTGTTTTATTCTTTCTCCTTTTTAAGATTTCTCATCTATTAATCAATATTACAGGCTATAAAATAGCCCTCCGTATCTGCAGCAGGTCCAAGCAACTGTGGACTGACAGTGTTTGGGAGATAGTGGATGCGTCTATACTGAACACTGCAGCCCTTTTCCTGCCATCTCCCCAGAAGGCGAGGGCACCACCGGCCAGAGTACCGGCACTACCTCGGCGCCGGTAGGACGTGCAGGCCGGGAGTGCGTGGTAGGACGTGTATGGCCGGGAGAGCGTGGCAGGACGTGTGGGCCAGGAGTGCGTGGCTGGAACGTGTGCGGCCGGGAGTGTGCAGCAGGACTCGTGCGGCCGGGAGTGTGTGGCAGCACCATCTCAGGGAAGGGGCCTGGGCAGCCCCAGTCTTGCTGTCCACGGCAGTGCTAGAACCAAGCTCCGTGGAAAGCGAGGGGCGATGGCCCTCTGCACCCACGTAAACGACTTCCCAATGAGTACGGTGCTGGGCCCCGTGTGTGTGCTCAGACACGGTCTGCAGCCTGAGTCTTCCTGCATTCCGTCGGGAGGGGAAACGTGCAGGGGCCGCGTCATGTAGCTAGCCTTGGCACGATCACACGGAGAAGAACCGCCGTGGACAGTCGCTGACCACGGCTAATGCGGCCTGGCCCTCTGCGATCTAGTGCGCCTGGGCTGAGGTGACCAGCATACTCTGGCCTGACAGCCCCAGTGTGACCCCCCGACTTCTCTATGTGTATGTCTGTGCGCTTTTTCCAAGCCACCGTCGCTCCCCCTCGGGGTCCCATCTTCCCGGTCACAGGTCACAGCCACTCCTGTGCAGGCCTGATAAAAACGTGAGGTTGGGCCGGCAGGTGGCGTGGCGGTAAGAGCACTGGACCCCCGCATGGCCCATGAGTCCTTGACCTGGAGGCTTGCTTTTTCACTCTCTCTCTCTGTCTCTCTCTTACCAGAAAGAAAGAAAGGAAATAAAGTTCAATAAAATAATTCTAAAAAATAAAAAAGGTAAGATTGAAGTAATGTCAAAAAGAAGGGGGGTCTATCCCTCCGAGACAGCAGTGTGTGGCTGTGGAGGAGAAAACGTGGCACCCGGCTCTGCACCGCGGCACCTCAGTGAGGACACCTGGGATGGGCTGGACAGGACCAGCCTGGCCCAGCGGGGTCTGACACTCAGAGGTTGTGGTGTCCACTCCTATCGTGGGTAGGGGTGGAGGGACTTACCTCAGAAAACCAGGAGGGAAACTTTGATTAATTACGGAGAAAAGCAGTGTCATGGATGTTTCTGAACATTCTTCCAATGCAATGTGCACAGAGTAGTTGTTTACGAGCAACTCCCGGAGAAAATGCAACGCGTCACTAGCTGAGCTCATTACAGATGAGCATGCTGACGTAGAAAAGCTTACTTACATCACACTATAGCATGCGTGGCCCCGAGCCCTGGGGACGGGCACACGAGGAGCCTGACTGAGGTGCAGCTACTGCGGGGGTGACCGAGGGCTGACCTGAGAACCTGCACGATGGCTCGGCCGAGCTCGAGTTAGCGCTGCTTCTCGGGGAAGGAGGCCCTCACGCACCTGCGAGTAGGAACTGGCCACGTGGCTCTGGATCTCGTCCATGGTGTCCACTCCGTAGGACACGGTGCCCAGGTGGAGCCGCTTGAACACCATCTCGTTCTGGGTGAGGGTCCCTGCAGGAAAGCCACAGCAGACATATTGACAGGCAGCTTGTAAATGGGGTGAAGCTCACGTCACACGTGCACGTCCACACGGGGTCACCTGCTCCGAGCACGCAGTGGGCCCTGCGGTACCACACAGCACCTTAAAGGTCACGTGCCGTCCCTGGGCCAGCAGGGAGAGACGTTTTCTTCCCCTAACCAACGGGCAGGAATGGAAGGGCCCCAGCCCCATGCAGGGCACTCAGCCCCGCCTTCTGGTACAGACTCGCTCTGTGCAAACCCAACTCCTGCCTTTCTGAGGAGACAGCATGGACCAGAAAACTGAGTCAGCACCTTCCTAATTACAGCCCAGAGCACTCCTGAGAGACAGAGACCAGCCCAAATAATAGTGCCCATCCGTCTCACAAAAACCTACTTTGAAAAAATGAAGTATTTTGGGTTGAACAGAAAAGGATGTCCCAGATGTGCCTCTCCCTCGGCACACACTTGCGGCCCCTGGGTGACAGCAAGGAGGTGAGGACGAGAAGGCACGTGTTGTAGCTGGGCCCCTGCCCGAGCATGCTCAGGGCCGTACGCGGCAGACGGAGGCGGAAGTGTTCGGATAGCACCGAGGACCTCGCAAAGGTGGGCCACATAGCCGGGGAGACCTGGCTCTGACCCAACACAGAGGGGGCACGCGACACACACCCTGGCACAGGGGAGCTCATGGAGCCCGTGCGTGTGCACGCCACACGCTGCTGTGGACTGCGCTGACTCTCCCGTCTCAGGTTTTCTGTTCTCACGTCACGGGCCGCAGCAGGCGCATCCACTGACCCCACAGCACTGCAGGGCCCGTGTGAGCAATCCCATCCCTGGTCAAGTGCAGTGTCAGGGGCCCCCAAAACCCAAAAACATTAACTAAGTTTTGTCTTCTTTGGCACGCACAGTATTAAAAACACTTTCCAAGTGTCTTCCTATCTGTCTGTATAGACAGACCTGCACGAGTCTCATCCGTGACTCGGGTTGAGGTGGTCTGAGAGCCCTCCACCGGCCTGGAGCCGGTTTCCCAATGTCTCGCGAGAAGGAAACCTGGACTTACAACCGCCTTGCTGATGGATCTTGGGAAAGAGCACTGCAGTACATGAAGCTCTCGGCATCCCGAGGGGCAGCTACCCAGGGACATGGGTCAGCTGTAGAGTTCTGCCTTTCATGACAGCCTGCGTAGCCCCTTCACACGGCCATGATGGACACAGCTTGACTGCAGTCCCCGGGTCTCCCTGGGGGACACCGGACAGCCGTGATGTGAGCCAGACTGCAGACGAGCCAGGTCCTCTTCGGCTGCCAGCTGCAGAAATGGGCCACGCACGACCTCACCCCGCCTGCCCTAGCGGCACGCCAGGGGCCCGCCAGGCCGGGAGCAGCAACCCCGGACTGTCTAGCCACCGTTGCCACCCTGCCCTCCCTGCCCCGCCTGCCGTGGTTCCCGTGCCCAGTCCCTGTGAGCCCTCAGTCTGCCTGGACTGCAGTGCTGGCCGTGCCTTGGCTGTGGGCTCTGTGGCTCGCCCTCGCCGCTCACCTCGACCCAGTTTCTGCGTGGCCTGGGTTCCAGGCTGCCCCCGCCCCTGCCCCCTGCTCCTCACCAGGGCCGGCTGCCTCTCCTGCCTGGACACCCCAGTGACCGCCAGCATTTACGGCTGCAGGTGGAAGTCCTCAGGGTGGGAAGACAGCGGAGCTCCACCCGATGGGCAGGGAGCCCGGCTTCCATCGTTCTCCAGGACGCGGACCCCCAATCTCTACAGACATGGGGACTCGTGACCAGGGTGACAGACCTGCACAAGTCCTGTGCGCCATGCCTGGGCCGCTCCCACCCCAAGTAGATACATGCCCTGAGCCGGGGCACCAGCCTGATGGCAGCTGCAGCACCTCTCACACAGGACACAGCAAAATGGCTACAGGACAACCAAGGCACAGGCAGGAGGCGCCAAGCGCTCAGGTGCCATGGCCAGGTGGTGAGAGTTTGGCCACGAGGAGGCTTGCTGGGCGGGCCGGGAACACGGGAAAGGCTGCAGAGGGAGGGCTGGCCCACATGTCAGGGAGCCCTGTGTGGAGGGCTGGAAGACTTGGAGGAACCAGGTTATGGAGGTCCAGGAGGAGACACTGTGCAGTCCAGAGGGTTCTGGAAGGCAGCACCGACTCCTGAACAAGGAGGGGAGATGGGATGGAAGGGAACAGGCGGGATGCAAGGCATATGAAGCCACGCGTAGGTGTTCTGGGTGGCTGCGGTGGGCCCTGGTGGACAGCAGTGGACTGTGGGCTAGCAGCAGGGTCACACAGGCAGAGGCCTACTGTGCAGTGCCTGCGCTTTGGGACAGGAGCAGCTGGGCCTCAGGAGGCGCTGGCTTGGAGACGCCTGTGCACCTTGCGTTCCCCTCTGCAGGGAGGCCAGCGCCCACAGGGACAGGTGGGAGGGCAGGACAGGCTGGGCCTGGGGGGAAGCCTCACAGGAGCACCCCTTTGCTAGGAGCAGGCAGGAGCCTCGCTGCACCCTCTGCCTTACAGGGCACATCATACAGAGTTGTCACCACACGGAGTCTGGGGCTCTTAACGTCACGGTCCTAACCGGCACCCCATCCCTCAGAACCCGGGACTCGACTACATGGAAGTCCACCAACGTAGCCATTACGCCAACTGCTGGTCCCTTACTGTGTTTTTAATTTGCAGTTTCCCTTAGAACAAGAGACTTTGAACGTTTTCTTTTCATACACCTTTAGGCCATTTGTAAGTCTTCTTTAGAGAGTTGCCTATTCAATTATTTTGCCTAATTTAAAAACTGGTTTATTCATTTTTTAATGGGTGAGCTGCCAGAGTTCCCTATATGTCCTGGAGATCAATCCCTTATCTAAGGAGTAATTTGAGAATATTTCTCCCATTCTGAGGGCTGTCTTTTCACTCTATTGTTTCTTTGCTGTGAGGGAGCTTTTAAACTTGGTTTAATACACTTGTCTATTTTGGGGTATTGCTTTTACTTTAGGGGTTTAAGAAATCTTTGCCTACCTCAATGTTTTCAAGGGTGTGCGCCATGTGTTCTGTTAGTAGTTTTATAGTGTGAGGCTTTACATTTAAATCTGGTCCATTTTGAGTTTATTCTTGTTAATGGTGAGAGAGAGGAATCCAGTTTTTTGTTGTTGTTTTGTTTTTGGTTTTGTTTTCCTGCAGGTGGATATCCAGTTCTTTCAGCACAATTTGTGGAGAATATATTTTTTTTCTCCACTGCATTGTCTTATACCCCCTGTAAAGATCAGTTGGCTGGATTATTTGGGTTTTATTTCTAGATTCTGGTTCCTGTTCCATTGGTCCGTGTGTCTATTTTGGTGCCAGTATCATGCAATTTCCTTTTTTTTTTTTTTTTGAGAGAGACTTGCTAGCACATTGCTTGCCAAAGAGACACAAAGCAAGAACTCACCCCCCAGGGGAGAGGGTCACACTGCAGTCCCTTCTCCTCCACTCTCTTCTTGGGATTTGGGCACACACGCACGTGCGCCCAGTGTGAGTTTCAAGGCGCTGGGTCCAGGACTTAAGCCACAACTGGCCACATGCGAGCCCGTGTGCACTTACCCACTACGCCTCCCACGGGCCCCCTGCTACTTCGATTGTTGCCGCTTTGTTACATATCTTCAAGTTGAATGGTGAGATGCCTGTTTTACTCTTTTTGCATGGTATTTGACTAGGTGATATGGGGCCTTTTATAATCCCAGACAAATTTTATAACTGTTTTGTATTTCTGTGAAGAATGTCACCAGCAATTAGATTGGAATCACACTTAATACGTAAATATAATATGTAGAACTGAAATTTTGACTATATTGATTCTTCCAATCCAAGAATATGGGATGTCTTTCCATTTTAATATCATAGTGAATTTCTCTTTTCAGCTTTTCATCTTGAGGTGGTATTAGGTTTTTATTAGGTTTATTAGATTTCTTCTTAGCTATCTTATTCATTCTGTGGCTATTGTAAATAGGATTGCTTTCTTCAATTCTGTCCCACTCTATTCATTGTTGGTGTAAAAATATGCTACAGATTTTGGGGTCAGCAAGTGGTGTGGAGGTGAAGGTGGCTGGATCGCACAGAGTCAATTCAGTTGTCTGAATCTTGGACCTGGTAGCTTAAAAATCATACAGGTAACATGTGTGGATGCCCAAAATCCTGAGAGGAGAAGGGACTGTGGTCAAACACGGCATGGTCACTCCACAGACCTCCTCCTCCACCTCTCCCTCCTGTTGGGTTTGGCCACATGTGCATGTGTACCCAAATGTTTTAAGCCATAAGGGCCAGATCTTGACCCTCAGTCAGCGTGTGGGACCCAGAGCCCTTAACCACTAGGCTGCGGGGCAGCCATGGACATGCTTCTTCCTCTGGGACAAATGCCAGGTGTGTGACTGCCTGGACATAGTAAGTCTGTGTTTAGGTTTCTTAAGAACCTGTTGACTTGCCTCCTGGAGCTGCTGTTCCGTCTCACACCCCTGGCAGTGTGAGAGAGGGCCTGCTCTCTTGAATCTCGGTGACGAGGGTGCCGCCCATTCTCAGTTAAGCTGCTCAGACTAGCTGGAAACTCTGCAGAGGGAACGGACTACGGGGTCCGGTGGCTGCAACTGCACCCACACAGGAAGGGCCCGGGTCCACACTAGGGCTCCCCGAGCATGCTGGGTGGCACACGTGCCCATGCTCTGCACTGGCGGATGCCAAGTGGGTCGGCACCCTGCTGAGGGCACTACCCCCGTCTCCTCCTCTCACAGAGTACATTTTTTTTTTTCGAGAGGTTTTTGCCATAGGGCACGTGCGCTCGCCAGACAGACAGAGAGAGACAGAGAGACAGAAAGTGAGAAATCACCCCCCAGGGGGGATGGCCATGCCACAATCCCTTCTCCTCCATTCTCCTCTCGGGATCTAGGGCACGCACGCACACGTGCCCGGCGTGAGTTTTTAGCCACCACGTCCGGGACTCAAACCGCAGTTGACTACGTGGGAGTCCA